ATCGTCGGAAGTCTACCTTTTTTTAAAAAAAGTTTGATTCTGTTTTTTTTTCTTTTATTTTGTCATTCTTTTGACTTTAAATTTTTAATTATCAAAATTATGTATTTTCTGATTATTTATAAACGTGTCATCGTGAAATGTAAAGATTAAAAGTGTATAAATAAAAAATATATTATAAATAAGTCACAACCTTCTTGATCCAAGTTTTTATTTTTTCTTATTTATCGTAGTATATAAATCAAGTGGTATTTTTTTCCTGTGAGATGTTTTACAAAATACCTTTTTTATGAATTTATTAAAGGATTTTATTATTTTTATTTTGTGTTCCCATAAGTTCTTGAGTTAAGATCTTCAAAACACTTGCAACGTATATTCTTTTTTGGTTGGAACTGCTTGGCAAATTATATTCTTTAGGTCTTGGATTCGGCAGATTCCTATTCTTTTTCGATCCTATTTGGATTGATCTTAGATTACGTCGCCCACCCTCTCTCCATAGGAAAGCGCTTCTTATAAATAAAAAAATTTTTCTTTCTTGCCATCAACGGGTTTTTTCCTTGTAAGTTATATGGGTCTGAACCGTTTTAAGAAAGAATTAAAATTTCCCCCTTTTTTCATACTCCTTTTTTATTAAAAAAAAAAAAATAAAACGTCTCTCTTCTGTAAATTATTAGAAAAAAAATTTTTTTTTGGTTGTTTTTTTTTGTTTATAAAGATGTAAGATTATCATGTATTTTTTTTAAGATTATGATTTGGTAATTTCATATATCTCTATAAGGAAGTATGAGATATAGAGATTTTGTAAAAAAAGTGATGAAAAATGTGAGATTTCTTTTTTCACTATCATCTTCTTGTGATCATAGCGAAGCCACTTTTTTTTCATGAGAAAAATTCGTATTGTTTCGCACTCTTCCTTTTTTTTTCTCAAAATAAACAAATCGTAATATTTAGAATTTGGAAGCTTGAAAATAAAGGTATAAAAACTCTCTTTACTTGATAACATTAGATTATTCGTTTTTTATTGCATTCCATTAAAATTAAAACTAAAAACTATCATGCCACAAAGATTTCAACTATCTGTTACGTATGTGAGTCCGTCTAACGCAAGAATACACTGTAAGAGAAGTTACAGCGATAGTAATACTGACCTGACGGGGGTAGTATATCTTAAAGTAAAAATTTTTATTCCATCTGACCAAAACATACCAACTCAGATTGAAGAATTCGAGAAAGGGGATGTGGTGTTCTTAAGAGGGAAATTCATTGCGTGTCCCAGCTGGTACAGCGTAAGTATCTATATGTTTTAGTAACTAATAGTTTTTATATTCCTTCACTGATTTCATCTCTTGACTACACTAAGGTAAACGCAACTTCGCTAGGAAATCTAGATTTCAATACAATGCCATCCATTGGTTTTAGGGATGGTTAGGTCGGTCCTGATCCGGTCCTGGTCCTGGGACCTATAAGTCCTATTGAATGGACCTGCGGACCAGGTCCTGTTAGGACCAGTCCTGGACCTGGTCCCAGGACCTGGTCCTGACTAAGTTATTTATAGATTTTATGAATTTTAGTAATAATTAAATATAAAAAAAGTGAGTTGCGATATCGGGATTCACTTTTTTATATTGATTTTATATAAAAAAAGTGAGTTGCGGTATCGCGATTCACTTTTTTATATTGATTTTAATATAAAAATGTGAATCGCAATATCGCAACTCATTTTTTATATGATTTTAATAATATAAAAATTGTATTGCAATATTGCAGTGCACTTTTTTATAATTTATAATTACTTAAAATCAAATTTACAGCAAATTATACATATATAATTTAAACATATAGATCTCTTATAACCTTATTGGCTAGGACTTTTTAGAACCTGGTCCGCTTCTAGTCCAAAATTTGGACCTAAAGATCTGCAGACCAGGTCCTAGGACCAGGTCTTTAGGTCCAGGACCTAGGACTTTACCATCCCTAATTGGTTTGGACATTATGGTTTTGGCATTATGACAAAAATGGTCCGAAATGTGGATGGTAAATCCGTGTTAGATTTCTACGTGAAGAAAAATCTTGGGGATTGTGACCCCATGATTTCTGGGTTGAGGTTAGGCAAGGCCTCACCTCTTTTCGTGATTATTATTCTTTGATCTATTATCCTTACCTTTAGACCTATATAAATAAGATGTTATGCCGATTTTAAAAATAAACTGTTGTTTTGTTGTTTTGTTGTTTTGTTTAAACTGATCATTTCATCATTTATTTATTCATAATAAAAAATATTACTTATTTCTTATACTGTATATTGATTTTTTATGTCGCTAAATTTACTGATCATGTTACATATTTATCTTGTGATCTACATAATACACCTATCAATAAATAAACCCACTCACATATTTATGATGTGTCACCTCCTCCGTGTTCTACAGTATGTAAACCGTGGGTACTGGGGAAAAAGTACTGGCTAGTTATATATTATAATATAGACGAATCGAAAAGAATATAATTAGAAAAGATCTGTAGTATATAATAAGATACAGTTTATTGTGTAGAGACTTTCAAATATTAATTATTTGAGGGAGAATTGTGCATTGTGATTTTGTTTTACTTAAATTGTTTTAAATAATTTGTTTTATAAAAAAAAATGTACGATCAGTTTTTCCAACACTATAATTTTAACATGTATATGTTATTTTTACAAATCTGTATTTTAGAACTTTATTTAACGCAAAAGAAAACAATTATTTTGCGAACTTTCAATCATACAAAATTTTATTATGTTAAAAAAAAAAAGATCTTTATTTAATATTCAGATGTGAAAATGTTTTATTTGAGATTATTTGAGGTATACATTGTATTTTGAGCCTATAAGGTTAATAAACAATTTACTCCCTGGAAGTGCCATATATAATAAATTTGTTGATTGTTAGTACTCTCCTATTTCAAGGGAAGAATTGAAAATTATTAATAGGAAATAAGGGATTGTTAAAAATTAATGATCATAATTCACAATTGTACATTTATACTTTAGTTATAATTGGAGATTTATAGTATGATAAAGGGAGCAAATAATTGATAAATCATAATTAATAATGACTCCTGTATATCTTAGTCTACGCCATATCATTGGCATTGGGCGCCGTGAAAATGATGACTCCGTGAAATAACTTATTTATATTAGTTCTGACCAAAAAACTCTTTAAATATGTCTTTTAAACTAATAACAATAGTCTAATATTGATATCCAATATTGATAAGCTTTTTATCCATCTTTTTAAATAATCATCCGTGAGAATATCAAGAAAAAAAAATCATGAATAATTATTAAGAACCGTGAGATAAAAAAGAAATATTAATATTAAACAGTTTATCAGAGCGTCTCATTTCTTACTTTTTTTTTTTTAAAAAAAAAAAAAAAAAATTGTAAAATAATTCATAACTTATTCTATGTTCAAATAACTTGTTAGACAACATAACCTCAGCCTTCTCTATGAAGTTGTCAAGTTGAACAACTTCCACAACCTGAACAACACAAAAATCGCAAGTTGAATGATGAAATTGATGCTGTTGAAAGGCGCAGTATCGTAAAATGAAAATGCTGATTTTTTTTGATATTTTGCTGAATATCTTGGCAACTTCGTACAGAGAACACAATTGCTCATTAGAATCGTCTTTGTGGCCGAGAATATGCATCAATTGTAACTCAATTGCATTTATTTTTAAGATAGTCTTGACAAGGGACTGTTTAATGAGCATAAAGAAAACTGGGTGCCGGTGTACAAAACAACAATAATAGTCACAACTTAAACATTTCACCTATAACATTAATTTTTTACTTGCTGGGACTCTTCCAAGAAATAAGAACGAAATACATTCACAATATCAATACTTTTCCACGATATTCAACACATTCGCACTAGAAATGATACATTTTATAAATTTAGTCTTATTTATCATGGTAGTAATGATGGAGTTAGTAATATATTGTTTAAAACAAATGTAATTATCAAGTAGCAACTTTAATTTTACAATCAAATAAGGTCTTTGGTGGATATGCTTCTCAGCTTAAGTGGATGCCAGTAACATAGAGCAGACAATTCACTTATTGAACTGGAGTTACAATAACCAAATGTGATGATTGTTTATTAAACGAGATCATAAATGTCTATATATTCATTCAATTCAACATTTTCTAATGCAGTTGACAAATAATATTAGAAAATTTTTATATTACAATTTTCCGCCATTAAAATATATAAAGCTTCTATGTTGATAAGAATTAAACTTTCTAAAATTTTCCTTCAAGTATATTCAAGTATAGTAGTATAGTAGTAATGACGTACTCATTATTCTATGTCATTTATGATGTACCTCACCATGTCCAATTCCAATCTGACCAATCATTCCCAAGCATTGGATTCTAGAATGTATCCGGTTGGAGAAACTGTAATTTATGATACGATTCATACCGACATAAGCACCAACGTGAAGAATATTTGAAAAAACAACAATCGGCAGACTTTCAAAGATAAACAGGCTAGACGAAAACACAGTTTACGACGTACATTTATAAATCAAACCCACCCCTTTTTTTAGTATAGTTTCCCTCCCAATTAGATGTTAAGTGATTGGTGATCAAAGAGGTTACTATTAAATATTATTAATATAGGAAATGATTACGTAAAGAAAAAATTATAAAAAAAAATAATAGTAGTCGTCTAAACGAGTAATGACTACGGAAACATATGGTGGTAGTAGTATAATAGTAATAGATAGATTAATTAAAAAAAACATCCACACTATAAATAAAATACTCCATATTTTAAACCTTCCTTTTTTCCCGAAGTTCCAAAATAATTAATTGTTAATCGCTGTTACGGTTATTACAATCAGTCAACAATTACGATCGAAATAAATAATTAAATATTTCGATGTAATTATTCATTTGGAAGATTTTTAATATACAAACAAAATTGTTTTGTCTTTTTTAAGGCGATTTTTGATTTTTTTTTTTTTGAAAAAAAAAACGATATGAGGAAAGATTTTAAAAGGTTACAAGAATTTTTCTTTCATTCAATTTAAGCGATTAACTTTTCCGCGGACTACCTGCCTTAATGAAAAAATTCACGTGCTCAATCAATTAAAAGTGTTCTCAGCGGTCCATGCGCAAATTGCTCAAAGTACCATGATTATATTCAAAAAAAAAGATAAAGCAATTTATTTATTGTTGTCTCACTAAATCGGGTATGATCAAAATCCCAACGCTCTCTATAAAAAAAGGTGTAGAAAGAAATACTAATATACTGTATATATATACATGTAATTTCCTGATTAGCAGAACTACGATAAATATGAATGAACACTTTCAGAAAGTTAGAAAAATAATTCTTTCTTTTAAACGGTAGCATCATTATTTTCTTCTCCATGATTATTACTCGCTGAAAGTCCTATTAATAGGGATGAAATAAAAGCATTATTTAAAGAGATTACTAAATATATGATAGTGAAGATATATGAAAACGTACCATTACTTATAATTACGTTACTTAAAGAGTCGTCATTATTTCGCCCTTCAACTTGATTTAAATATGAAGCGTTGTTGATATTATGGATTTTTTGAGCCTTAATGAGTCTTCCTTCGAGTAAAGTTAATTTTTCTCTCAGAATTTTAATATCTCTTTGAGTATCGGCATACAACTTTTCAAAATTTTGAGCTTTAACTTCCAAAGCACGCACGTAATCTTCTCGTGCTTTTCTGCGTGATATTCTGTGTCTTCTAACATTCTCAAAATGCTTTCTCTGTAAATCCATTTTTGGGTATATAAATGATTTTATTATAAATTTTTATTTATTAAAGGTAATACAAATAATGACTTACAAGACTTAGCAATCTATGTTCGGTACAGTAAGGAGAATTTGTCGAATAAGTTGTTAATGTTGGCTCTGTTAAAATAAAAAAAATAAGGTTTAGAAATATTTAATTCGAAAATCTTCAAAACCTTTTTATCTGATGAAAGAGATGTTTATACTTACGACATGTAACGACTTGTTGCAAAGTGGTTGGAGAACTTTATTAATAAATTATTATTTTATTTATATATTTATAAAATTAATTGATAAAGTATTAATTATGATTAACTTACGCTTTTTTCTCTTTTACATCATAATTAAAAATATTAGTAGGATATCCTTTTGAACAACCTTTCACACTATATTTCATAAATGCATATTTTATTATTGATAGATAAATCACAAAGAAAAATGAAACGATAGATAATACTGTTAATGAATTCAATTCCATCATCATTAATAAAACGAAAAAAAAAACTTCGAAGGAATTTTATAGATTTATGAAAAGTTTTTTTTTTTCGGGTGTTACGTTTTTCCCTTGCTTATGTGATGATATCGTAAGCAATTAAATTTGTGTACTTCACATGACTATCATGAATATATAGTGTTGCGGATGATCGAACGTTGAAATTTCGTTCAAAGCTGGTATCCACGTGGACAAGGTAAACCTGAACTTTACTCATTTTTTTTCACAGATTTTCATGTAACTAACCTATTTTGGAAGTGATCATAAGAAGATCGAGCAAATCATTATATCATACGATCTGAATATATAATAAAACGTGAAGATATTATTGGATAATAGGAATCATTAAAAATAAAAATTATGTTTAACCCAATTTTGTTTAGTGAATATTCAAAAAATTTTACTTAACAATTTGAAATCAGGAAGGCCCCCTGACTGGAACATACGTGATGATAATACTCATAATAGAAAGATATCACATATTGTTTTAGCTTCCTAAATCCTAATATGAAAAAATATTACAAATATGATTGTAATAAATTAAGTGATTGAATTTCTCATTTCAATACATAGACGTACAGTGTGCGTCTCTGTTTACAAATTCTACAAGATTTGCAGTTTCTTTAAAATTCCTAACTTCGCTAAATAATGTTTCACTTTTAAATGGGAATAATAGAAGCATGCAATAGTTTTGCAACACGTTTTACAAAAACTGCTTTTATATAAAGCTTTTAAGAATAAATTTGGTAATCCGAATTCCACATTTCTATTGCCTAAAAAGTTATAGTCATTTCTGACAAAATTTTAATTGGACAAATGTACTTGTTAAAATAAATTCCAATGACAATGAAATAAAAAGCACCATTATATGAAAATATTTCTTTATCTATTACGTCAACAATTAATAAGCAATTCTTAAAAATTCGTTTTAAAATTTATTATATTAATTTTAGCTAGTTGTTACAATTGTTAAAAGCTGTAATAAAGTTTAATTAATTAATTAATTAAAGTTAAATTAACTTTTGTATACAATGCGCATTTGTCCCATTTGAATTTAATTAAAGAAATCTCAATGATTAATAATCTAATAATCTTTGGATGTTATTAATACATTTGTGAAAATTAAAAATTGAATAATCAAAATAATAATTATAGATGAGAAAATAAATAAAAATTTTATTTTTAATTTATAGTTTAATATAAATATATTGAACAAAACGTTAATATTTAGCCAAGTCTTTAAAAAATTTGTTGTCACCTGGTCGCCAGACACCAGCAGCAACATTGATCAAGGGGGAAAGGAAGGGGAAAGAGCAAGGGAATAAGGGAAAGGAAAAGGGAAAGGGAAAGAGGGAAAACAAGAGAAGAACGAGGACATCACCCACCTATCCACAACCCACACTCCCAACCTAAAAGAAAATGTAAAAAAGGGAGCCAAAGAGAAGACCTAATAAAAAGAAGACCCAAAGAAAAGATAAAAGAAGAGAAGACAGAGATGCATTGCTTATCGGAGAATTATTCAACGATGTTCAAGATTGTTTAATCGAAAAATAAAAGAAGACCTAAAGGAAAGAGAAGACAGAGAGTCCAGAGACACCTAAAAAAAGGTATTGGGTTTATGTTCAGATTTGCCATCGAATTTTTTTTACAGCTACATTATTTTATGATTTTTATTAATAAAAATACATTACTCAGATCAACAAGTTAAAACTATTTCAACAACGTTGTTAATTATAATTCTGTTGAAACCAATCATCACTATAAACAATATTTAATTAACTTTCCGTTAAAATTCTTTCATTTTTTTTTTGAAAAAAACATGTCTACAAGAACTACCCAATTTGCAAATAAAGCGTAATTTGTGTTAAAGGTTTCTGTGTTAAAGGTTTCATTATATAAAGTTGCGTTAATATATTGTCGTAAATGAGAGTTCAAGAACTGCGATTCAAATATCCGCAGAAAGGTATAAGACGAATAAATACTAAATGAAAAATCAAGCAAACATTTCTCCTAAGTAAACATACCTCTTTTCAGGAGTCAAGAATTCATTTCGTTGTGGTACTTAAACTCTCGAACGTTCATTGGACTAGATCTCTAACACACGTGATCCATAGTGACAAAAATTACGACTTTCCTCAGAAACAGGTTTGGGTTGTTTCGTTAAAAAAATGTTTAAAGTTCTTTATGGTTGTAAAATACCAGATTAATTAGTTAAAAAATTAGGAGTAATGTAAACTTTGTCAAATGCATTTCGTAATAAATAAATTTGGTAAAATTAATGTTGACCGTTTTGTTGATTCTTTTCGAGCATCTTCTTAATTCCACGTTGATAGAAGCGTCGGTGCACGTCTGGTCTTGCCATGTAAGAGAAGGTTATGCGGCACCCTCATTATAATTCAACCATTAAATTATAATGATTCGGTATCCTGAGATGACGTATGTGTTATCGGTAAAGGGACAATTATGATATATAATTAAAAAAATGTATTTGATTTTTTCTAGGAATAATGCGAATGCAGTTAATCATTTACAGAGGTCTTCTCTTCGCTGATCGCTTTGGCTAACGATTTCTTTAATTGTACTACTTCGTCGATATTCATGGTAATTCAAAATAACTTTTTGAAAGGAAAAGTTCGTAATAAATATTTATGAGACCAAAAAAAAGAAGGTGAGAGAAAGAAATTGTAGCAAAAGTCCGGTAATTGTTTTATAAAAGAAATAATTTTTAATTCTCTTTAGAAAATGAAAATGAGAAAACAAGTTACTAAAAAACAAATAAAATCATGCGTGGAAACGAATATGATATATCGTCTAAAAATTTAGTCTTTATGATAAAAATTATGGGATTACTTGATGACTTGGTGGTCAATTTATAGTGATCATACAATCTTTTTTTTTTTTTTAGAGCATTGAATTTTTAAGAAAAACAAGATTATGGATATTTACTTAATAAGATTGTTAAAATTATGACAAGAGGGCAAAAAATGGTTTGATTATAATTCACATAATCACACAATTCGTGTTTACGGTCATAAAAAAATTTAGATATATTTATCATATATTCATAGAATAGGAGTATAAAAGGAAAAGAAAATTTTCTTTGAACGGAATTCCAAAAAAGGACACAGAAAGAGAGGACTTACGAAATCCCGACGATCAGAATCCAACCTGGCTCATAAATCATGATCCCCAAAATTCAAAATTCTCGACACTCATTATTCCGACACTTAATAATATCCTCATAAATAAAAAAGGTATCCGGACTTTCGCTGAAGTCCATTTCACCGAAAGGATATTTCAGGAAAATAAAGTGATTTATCTATTTCTTAACAATTAATATCAGTTACTTGAATGTTAAAGTGATGATATCCTGGAAAAAAAACTCTAAAAATAATTTAATTTTATATTCATTGCGCGATTTATTAAAATATTAACCGCTACAAAAAAAAATTTATATCTTTATATGCAAAACATTATATTTTTATTTAATATAAAGCAAAAAACTGAAATTAATTTATTTTTCTACCCAATAACTGAGTTATAGTCATTAGGAATACTAAGGTGACCAATAGGAATTAATGCTACTAATAACGATTGATGTCTCATAAAAATATCGGTCATTAAAATCCCGCATATTCCTAATCGACTGAACAATAGATTTTGCGAAGTATGGTTGATAAATATTAATAAAAATATAATTTTTAAAAATAAATACATTGATTTTTGCGAAAGTCATATTACAGGTACCGCCCGTTATAACGAACACTCTTCGGGTCATTAGTAAATTTTTTCTAATTGTCGTTATAATGTAATTTATTATGTTTTATATAACGACATAAAGGAATTCAAAAAAATGGTATGTCGTTATACAATAATATCAGATATGTCGTTATAACGAGATGTCATTATAACGGGCGGCACTTGTATATATAAAAATGTTTAATTTTTTTAAGAATATTAATTTTTACAATATTCATAAATTTAATTAAAAATTATCATGTGTTAACAAAAAAATTAAGCATTTTATGTCAGTCCGACTCACTACTGCACTATTGCATATTGGCATAATAAATTTGATCGTTTATTACCAGAATTCTCATTTTATCACATGACTCAGTATATATCAATTTTATAGACGTGAATAGACGTGTGATACTATTAGTCGTGTACATATGATTCGAAATCGTATAACCGCAACATTCATATTATTGAATTATAATATGTCCTATTTAACGTAAAGATAGGTAAATTTTCTAATTATGTATATTATTCATTATTATTATGTAAAACTTGAGGTATTCATCGTTTGTATTTTTACTCTTACTCATTATTACAACTTAGGTATATACTTCTACAAATAAATTACAATAAAGTCGTAATATTTGTAATTTTAGTATCATATTAAATCATATAGCATAATATCAAATAAATTGTTAATAATTATAATTTATGAAATATTATGACATTTAAATTTTATAATTTTATATTACACATGCTGGACAGCGAAATAAATTCGAGATGCGATCTTTGAGAGTCATGTGATAAAACGAATCACGAGAGAGTGTCCTTAAAATAGACCGGGGTTCAGGTTCTTATCCTAGACCGCAACTGTATTAATCACGTGACGATTACTCTGAAAAAACTTATTTATATAGGGGGTTTAGGATAAAGAACCTGGACCCCGGTTCAGGATAAATTTGTCCATCACGAGATGAGACAAATCGTCATATGATTGCATTTACTATTTTGTTATTCGTTACAAAGTATTAACAAAATTATTACAAATAATGTAAAATTTTGTTTTTGAACGGTTCTCAGAAAGAAGTTTTATATGATTAATAATTAAATAATACTAAAAACAATGAGAATAATACAATTATGTTTCATAAATTTAATTATTCATTATTTTAGTATAAGAAAGTTTTTTAAAAATGAATATTTTGATACCGAATTAGTATCATTTATTCCATGGGGAGTTGGGAATAATAGGGTTTTTTTCCCGAAGGGAAAAAACCCTAATGTTTCCCCTTCCCATGAAATAAATGGGTAATCCCCTGGAGCGTGTTACACATTAAATATTAACTATTTTAAACTAAAATTCGGCTATCTCGCAATTTTTAAAAATTAGTATGAAGGTGATCATGAGTGACACTTAGTGCGACAGGGGATTATTGTTTAATAATAAAAATATTTTCTTAGTTAAGAATTAATAATACTCTCTGTTTTGGTCATATTTTATATATTTGGAATTTAATAAAAAATAAAAGCTGTTAAATGTTTGAAATCTATAAAAGTTAAATTCATATGGTTTATTTATGACACATCATTTTTACTAACAATAAATTGCCAAGAAACATTGGATTATTTTGTCAATAAACTTTAAAAAATAAATTCCTTTTCTATATTAGAAAAATCTTATTATTAGAAATATATATATATATATATATATATCTTTTCATTACAATAAAATAAAAAATACAATTATTAGAAAAATCTTTTCACTACAATAAAATAAAAAATACAATAATATAAAAAATACAATAATATTAGATATACATAGATATTACAGAGGAAGTCGATATTAATCAAGATATTGACTATGTTTCACTTTTTGCTAAAGAAAAGTAACTAATTAAGCTTTATAGCACAGCAAACCCAAAAAAAAGGTTTGCTTAACTGGAATTATTCCTAAAAGAGGTGGAGGAAGCTATGTGTTTGGAGATCGGTTTCTGAAGTTTATGGGAATATACTGAGACTTTATGGAGACTTTACAAGTTATCGTTATGACATAATTTAAATTTAATTTTATTGGCTACTAATTGTTGTACAACCGAAGGGTTAAATAAATACCTATCTGAGTAACAATAGTAACAATAAAATCGTATGAATCACTCTTTTTTCGCTCTCTGATAAATTAATTTTATAAACTTTTTTTTTACTATACTTATATCCTTTATGTCATTATATCATATTTCGTGTCACCAATTAAGAGTTTATAAAGATCATTTTATAATTAATTAATCATGATTTATTCAGAAAAGTATACAAAGTTCACAAAAAATTCTCTGCTCAAATTTTCTTGAAACTTTTTTTCGCTTTTACAGGAATGAAATAATGTTGTCGCTTAATTGTTTGATTCTAGGACAAGCTTCTGAAAAAAGTTTCACTGAAAACATTGGCGAAAGATATTCCGATGATAATAATGTTGAAATCAAATTTTCTGAATTTAAGGTTTCACACTTCAAAGAGATGCTCTTTCGTAGGGGCGAAGTAAAAGATGTAGTTCGAAATACTGGAGAAATGGATCTTTGGAAAATTGACAGCATGAAAGTTAATGAAGAAGAAGACAATCTTAAAGAATTTACTGAAAGTGACATCAGAGAAAAACTTGGAGGCGAATTGATGAATCCTCAATCAAGTCTTAGTGAATATTTCAATGAGAATAGTTTCAAAGATGAGGGAAGCAAGTCTGCCGTTCACATCATCGTGCAACTTGTCCTTTGGGAGACCAATACGCCCAATGAACCAAAGGCTAAATTCACGAATCTCATTCCTGCTGAGGCGGATTTATCTGAAACATTTAACCGTTTGAGTATGACAGGTGTAATTTGTCAAATTTGAATGTTTCGCATTTTTAATTATTTTCTAACACCTCTGATGCGACTAGAAAAAAAAAGTCAGTCATACATCGGTTATCAGGAAATACTACCAATTACGGGCACTGGCATGTTACCACGACGTGTAATTCTTTCAAGATTTTGGAGTACATATATAAAGGATACTCCATTGTCATATATGAACTCAGGAATAGTTAATGGAGGACCGGCTATAATTGCTTATGTTCATGTACCCAAGGGTACGCCGGTTGAACTCCCTACGGAGTTCGAAGGTTATCCTGTACTCTTAGACTACGGAACTATAGAACCGGCTTGTCATACAAGACCTGTAGCTCTTTCACCCGGTATCAGCATTGGTAGTGTAAGTGCTTGTACGTTAGGAGCAATGTTTAAAAATGAAACCGAAATGGAAAAAATCTTTATACTTACAACGAAGCATAGCGTTGGAAATACTGACAGTACGGTAATTCAGCCGGGTAGTTCTGATGCCGAAAAAGTATGTACTCAATGAAGTTTTGACATTTATTTTTCTTCTTACTAATATTTTTTTGATAAAAAGGGTTATACCATTTGTGCCAAGGTATCAAAGTATAATTTTTATGGTGTTATACATGAACATGAAGATGCAGATGCACTTTTGCTTGACTACGCTTTCTGCGAGGTTATTAATAGCCAAGTAGTGTCTACTAATAATACCCCTGAATTTTGTATAAGTAATACGAAGGATTCCGGGAGTGGCCCTGAAATTGAATATGAGATTCGTAAATTTGGTAGGACAACAAATTATACTGAAGGAGTGGTAGAGGATAGGTTGGAATTTTTTTATAATCGTAAATTTGGTCATGTGAAAACTTTAGTCGTTAGCGCCAAAGAAAGATTTGGTAAGTATCTGTTTAGCAAAGATTATTTGGGCTTGTTTCCAGATTCTCATCATCCTACTGTATGTATAGGTGCTCCCGGAGATTCAGGTTCTCCGGTTTTCGATAAAAATAATACATTGTGGGGGATTCTTCAAGGAGTTTCTCCGGATGGTTTATTAGTATCAGTTGTTCCTATTCATTTGATTTTACAACATGTTCGAAGTGAGTTTGAAGTAAGTTTTAAACTTATGAGTGAAATTTAATTGTATATAAGGGGCCTCCGTTCCCAAATTTGTACAGTATAATAATCAGAAAAGTATAGTGTTAACATGTGTAAAAATATTGGCTAATAAAAATGTTTTGCGTAGTTTGCATTGCTTTTTGCTGTAATAAATCTTGCAAAAATTAACCGTGTTGATTACATGTTTCCCGAAAGTTCTTTCATTACGTACGCAAGATACCCCCGATTTGCATTCTGCGGATCATGATATGGCAAAATAGAGATTTTTATCCTGCCCGAGTTAGTTCGCCCAAAGTTGTGTATAGTTTATCCCTGAAACGGTAAAAATGGATGATTAATGTAGCTCATCTATTGCATTACAAATCTCGATCGGCCTGGATTCAGCGAATCTAGAATGCTAGAAAATCATATACGACTTATTAATGACATCGATCGATTTCATACAAAAACCGTAACTTCCTTTAAATGGTAATGATAACAGGATTCTCCATTACGCACGCAAAATCCCTTTGATCACACCGCATTTAGGCATTGTCCTGATTTCCTTCTGATCGGCATAAAAAAATCGCGGAAATGATACCGTGAGCAATTCCTTTGTTAATTCTTGCTCTATAACCTGACTTTTAGTGAACTCAATGTCATCATCATTATTTTCCTGAGACGTAGTAATGACCGGAATATTTTTCTGCCGATCGTCACGAATCGTGACGGAATTTCCATTTTTTTCCGAATTTTCTGAACTACTCTGATCATCATGACTCTTCACAGAAGAAATACATCAGTTCTTGCCTTAAGCTCCTGTCTCAGTTTCATTTTTTCAACCTCATCCTCAGCAACCTTCTTCCTAAGCTCACAAATCTCAGCTAAGAGCTTGGCATTTAATTCTCTTAATGAATCGTTGGATTGAGTGCTTGACATGATCAATAAAATTTTATACAAGAATGTGAATTATTCAATGTTTTGTTGTGAATGTAAAGACAAGTTTTATTAAGATAGAATAAAAAAATAAATACAATGATCGGGACTTTGCCCAGGATACATGACGATTTTTTCTATGCTAGTGTCTAACAAGACTATCTTATTTATCTTCTGTTTTTACCCGCTTCAACGATTCCTGTGATTCGATCTGACTATCAAACACCCACTTGATTTGCCCGAACAAATTCTTGAGTTTTTCAAGCATAAGACTTTTGTCAAACACACTCTCATTAATAGGAAAAGTAAATGGTGTTCGCGAACTCAATAATACCTCAACATTCCCATTATCATTGTCATTACATTCGCCAGTAGTGACTAACTTAATTATGACCCAGTCAACCCCTGTCGAAACGATACCATACATTACATCTTCACGTAAAGCCTCATTGTATGTGCGTTTCTTTTTATTTCGTTGAGATGAAGCTTGTAACTGAATTGCATTCTGGCCAACACCCTGGTTAATATCCTCCCTTTTAGCCTCGGTAACGACAATAATCGTATCTCCAATCTTGATAACCCAATCCACTGGCCTTTTACCATGGCTTCCTGATAACTCATATTCTGGACATACTTTCACTTCTCCATCATATCAAGAGGCTACGCCGTGAAGAATGGATGAAATAAATTCGCGTCTTGTTGCTTCGTTTGCACTAGTTACGTGAATGCATGTCTTATGCTTCATAGCTATATCTTCCAAAACGTGCTCCAATACCTTTTTGTAATCGGAGGCATCAGCGGAGCCTCCATCGAACCTAGGTAGATCAATATAACTATCAGCTGTTAACCCGAACAATGACTTGATTTTAGGAAACGTCCACGACGAGAATGGTTGTTGTGCTGTAGAAACACCAAGATTAAATCTGTTAGAGTCTGTTGCTTAAATTTCATAAAAAATTTTCTTCACACCTACATGTGTCCACGATAATTGGGAGGTCCACCTTGAATCCTTGAGTCCAGATTATACATGCCAAATCCTCATCATCGACCAAACGAACATGTTCCTTTCCACTCTCACGAATTATGACAATATGCTCGTCTTCAGTTCCATCCGGGAAAGCAAAACAAGTTCGAAGCCTCGTCTTCAAAGCTGACAAGGTTATTTGCCCACGAGTTACAGCCCACAAGAATTTCTCTGACTTACGACCATACGTTGCGGTGCAGTGAACTTCTTTCGTCTCAACAGGACGCTGTACGATTATATGTATGTGCTCGTCGGCTGGCTGGGAAGAAAAGTGTTTGCTAATCTTCGAAAGAGGTGGAAGTTCCTCACCACCAAGGTCCTCCTTGATATTAACATTTATTTATTTTTGTGTTGACGAGCTCAAGTTTCTTGTTTTCTTTTTCGAAGCAAATGTCGACCTTCCATAGCTTGAGGTCTTTTGCCTTAACATTATCGTCAATTTTTTCCTTGATAGCGTCCTTGAGATGCCCAACAGTCTTAACCTTGTTAGTATCAATATCAACCGGAAAAGAATTATCGTAAGGGTTTTCTCCAAACAGCTAAGAGTAATAGTTGACATGGCGTATTTACAGGGATAGTTGGCTCGGTTAAAAGGCATTGCATCATTTCACGTGACCCGTTTCTCATATATGTTCGATAAGATAATACTTTATTTATGAAATAAAAACGTTGCCGGAAGCCGGCTTACAATACATAAAAATTGCGAATAGATCGCTTTACATTATATGAATAAAAAAATACTATTTTTTAACGCGAACATCTTCTAAATTTACTCTTGCTTTTCGATCATCTGTTACAAAGATAATGATAGTAAGAACAACGCTCATTAGATTTCAGCTATAACATTATGCAAAGCGCCTTTCGGCCAAATTACTCACACAGCTTCTTAATGTAGTCCTCAAGCTCCAATGCTGGTCTCAATCCCATTTCAAATTCTTTAAATTCCTGTCTGGTTAACTTGAAAATAAATGACTGGTGATTTTTTCCTCCTCAAGTCTCGTAAAAAAGCCATCCCCAAGTTCTATATGACTTAATTCAGAATCTCCCCGCAAAAAATCGATAAGTCTTTTCGTTTCATATCCTTCTAACCTCTCAGCTATAGTGGAGCTGGAAGACATCTTGCTTTCCTAAATACAAGGCCCATAGTGAGAAAAACTCGCTCGGTCCCAGGGACCCTCCCATACATACATAATTTAGGGTATATACATACCTTATTTTATGTTATTTTCTCTGGGAATGTTTTTGCGGGAAGGTTGGCTGAACTTCCACATACTCATACATGGTTTATATCTTGCTGGGAAAAATTTAAGGAGGTATGAGGCGTAATTAACATTGTCGTATGATGCCAAGAGTTCTTTGAAGGCACATGCTAATGGAATCTTCATACCTTTTCACATGTAGATCTACCTTGCAAGACAAATAGTTGGCTTTACGCCTGGCGATCTCGAAATTGCGAGTCCCTCAGCCTTTCATAACATATGCCTTTGTCGGCACTATTAACTTATAGGGTAGGTCCTGTGTTGCAACTAGACCTTCTTTCACATTTTTCTCATGTTTGTTTGGGAATAAAATAAGAATAGTAATTTCTTTCACTTCTTTCACTTGATATGTGAGAAATTTCCCTGTCACACAGACCTGCCCGTGTGATCATTTATTTTGTCGCACAATTTGGCCGAAGGCGCAGTGCATGGCTCAGCAATTCTTCCGAGATGATGATCATTTCTCCGGACTAGCATTAATCGATCTGCTTGGGAAATTGGGATCAACATTTTACTAACATCGCTTTTAAACAATTTTACAAGGTTTTCTAGTCCCTCCAAATTTTTCTCAAATACTTTGGTTAGCTCCTCCGGATCGCTAGGTAAATTATTGGATAAATCTTTTTCACTTGGTTCCTTTCGGCTTGGCGCTCGCTTTCCATTCTTACCTTCAGTACTGCGGAAGTTAGTCTAATTATTGGGAAGAAAAAATAAAATTGTGCAATATTTAGTTGATCACTGCTCCGGACTGGTTCAGGTTCTCAGATATTCGCACAGTTCGGGATAATCAAACACGCTAACAATCCTGTCTTCCTTTATATTCTTGACAGTGATAAAGCCAGTTGCCCTATTATATGTGTGATCATATTTGGCCGGATTGCATAATGGCAAATACTGCGTGGGGTTAGTAGTGAACTTACCTGCAGTCTTGCGCCTATTATTTGGATTTTTTAGGGTTAATTTTCTTTGATGAGGGATTTATAGTAGAAAAAGTATGTTTTCTTGTTGAGCGACGAACAGTAACAGATTTTTTACTTAAATTATCTTGTAGAGTTTATTCTGAATTCTTGTTTTCATCAGAATTATTAGTTTGTTTTATTATTAGAAACTACAAAATTTAATTATAATTATTTAATAAAAATTCTAAATCATATAAAAATAAAATTATAAGAATATATACTTACGTTTATTTGTACTATAATTTTATTTCTAGATTTTCTAGCCATTACTAGATAATTTATCCAATTCAATTGACGATGATTATCTGCAGGAAAAAAAATATGTATAATAAATTACTTGAAACTATCTTTGCCTTTCTTAGTAAGAAAGATCTTTATAGGAGTTGTGCCAGAGTAAATCACCAATGGAATGCTGTATCTAAGCATAGTATTCGAAAAAAAAGAAAAGCTGAGTTTATTAGTATTCCCAGCATTCGGGATAATATTATTTTTCACCTATATGATCATCTCAATATTACTGAAATTGTTAACTACTGCAAGGTAAGTGAGATATGGAGAAATATTCTTAATCGTTTATATGCAAGGACTATTTCTCTTTCTATGCTATATAATCATAAAGGTTTCTTAAATTCTTCTTTCTATGGTAGAAGACAACTACTTCATAATAAAAAATGACTTATATGTTATTTTACAAATCGTCGTACACAATATTATTTAAAACATGACCATGAACTAAACAGGTACTATCAGGATTAGGGATGGCAATGGTTACAGTCATAACCGGTCATGACCGGTTAATAACCGTGACCGATATCGGTCAGTCAAAGGCTCTGACCGATTATTTAACTGACCAGTTTTGACCGACCGTTTGACCGACCGTTTAACCGATCGTTAACTGACCATTTAATTAACCCTATTTATTTAACACTTTTTTTATGAGCTGAATCAATAAAAAAAGTTGTATAATGTTTTTGTTAGCGGATTTAATCAAAAAAAAAACTTTTTAATGTTTTTTCTTAATTAAATTCACTAAAAAAACGGTTAAATGGTCAGTTAAACGGTCAGAAAAATGGTCAGCAAAAACAGTCAGTCAGTCAAAGACCCATAACCGGTTATGACCGACTGGTAACTGACCATGACTGACCGTTGCCATCCCTAATCAGGATATCTTATCCCAATACGATATAAGGGGTGAATTTCTTAGACTGGCGCTCACTGGCCAGAGTTTGCCGGTCCTATGGCTATACTGAAGATGAATTTTGTAGGCTAGCCAGAGTTTTTCGGTCTATTAGACTCTCTTGATCTATCTAGTCTTTTTTTTTGGTTTATAGCATTTGACTTTCATTTCTTCGAATGAACTGCACTCAGATGCAACTATCTCCTCCACTTCAGACTCAGATGAACTAGATTCAGAGGAATCAGTTAGTTCTTTGCCAGGCTCTAGACCAGTTTGTTCTTCTATACAGTCTACAGATCTTTCAAGCTTTTTGAGTTGAGAATGATGATTACTTAATTTTTTCTCTAATACTTTGATTTCTCCAATAAGCGTGCTAAATACTATAGAATTTTGATAATCAAGTCCTGCTAACTTTGATAGCTTTTCCATATTTTTTACATACTCGCTAGGATGATTGGAAGATGTGTAATTTTCATTTTAGAGATATATTGTATTACTTAATATTTACTTCACAAGAAAAAAATAATATAATAATGTATGCGATCTGACTACTCAGCTTAGTCCTTACAGCTTTTTTTTTGCCTCTTCATGGGGTATATTATCTTTGACTATATTTTTATATACCATGATTTGCCTATTCAGAGAATTTTCATCTGTTGTCTAGTATTTCAATACAAAATAATGCTGTAATTGATAAATAATTGAATATAATTCAATAATAAGAAATCAGATAACAAATATAAAGTATAAACATAAAAAAATTTTTCACATTTTTAATACTTGATAATTGATATGCACTCTTTTTCAAGAATTCCTTTAGGAAATTTCTTCATTTTACCAGTAATTGTAAATCTCTGCATTTACCTATTATAAGAAAGAAAAAATTATTAATAGTGTACTAAATTTTTATTTAATGATAAAGAAGACATAGCCAATTCCT